GATGCGACTTAGAGTGTTAACCTTTGCTTCAAACCATAATATGTAAATGAATAAAAGTTATAATACTGGGGCTGGAACAATTCACATTGGAACATAAATACTGCAGTAGGCCTATTAATCCATGTTAGGCACACCCAACCACACCCACTCATATACCCGTCCAACCTGCATTTGAAGTTTCCCAAAGTTCTCTTCCCCAGTGACATTACCTGGTTCATCTACACCTCTGTTGCCAAATCACTGCCTTCCCAAATCCTTTCTAAATCTAAATTCATTCAACTTGAATCCATTACTTCGAGTCCCGTCTTGGTTAGATACTTCCAGCACGTTATTTATATTCCGCATATTTATTGTTTTTCATATGTACACTTGTATCCCTAGCCCTCAATTTCACGTTTCTCCAAAAATTAAATTCAGTGCTTTCAGCCTATCTTCGGATCAGCTATCTTTCAACTATCTTTGTTATCAACTTCGTCATCCTTCTCTCCATATTTTCGAGCGAAATTATGTCCAGTCTGTAATATGGAGACCAGAACTTAAATTAATGTAAATGGTGCATTACCAAAGATATGTAAATATAAAGTCTAACCAGAGGCTCTATTATTTATATAAAAATTATATATTATTATTATTTATGTTAAGTAAATAAGATTATATATTATTATTATTTATGTTAAGTGCTGTACCTCCTCGACGTTGAGCACAAGGAGAGCGACGGTACACCGACCTCTGTCCAGTCTTAAGTCAGGCTTACGTGGGTCACCTGGAACAGTCACAACTAACTTACAAACTGATGATAAATCTGTAAACGACGTTTTGGTCGCTGCTAGCCCATTACTATTCCTCCAGGAGACCGAAACGTTAACTAAAGAATTATTTCCAATTTATTGATTGGTTGTGAACGTTAGTTGTGTGAGTACCGTTGGTAATTACAGAACAAGAGCCACACTTCTCATATTCCCGTCTCTTAATCTATACCAATTATTTTGCGTCTTACTAGTCTGTAATAAATGTATTTGAACATTGAATTGCAGCAGTAATTGATCTCGCAACCTCTTCCTGGGGTTTTCACTCATTAACCACGACAAAAGTAAGACCTCATACAGTGCAGAGTTTGTGTTCCTATATTCGTCCCTTAAAATATTTCTTCCTCAATATAACATTTATAACAATGTGAGCACGGAATTTTACAAGTCTCACCATTCATATGGCTGTTTTCTGAAGTCCTTTTGACAAAAGATTTAATTGCATTAAACTGCTGAAGGCAAAACTGACATTATTAAGGGAAGGCACTATTTTATCACATTTAAGTGTGTCCTAGGGAAGAATATAAAATTTCTAGTTATCCCCAATTAAACTACTCACCGAGAAATAACCAGTTTATAAAAATCTCTATGTAACTTAAATTGAAAATTTTATGTAATCAGCCTCATATTTAAAAAAAAAAGTCACACTAGGTAAACCCAAAGCCATACTGAAATGGTACCACTTTTGGTTTGAGGCTAGTGAAACGTGAAGCCATGAAGATAATTAGGTATCTCTGAAGGGGTAACTTTGAGAGGCTACATTGGTTTTTTCCTTCCATCTTTTAGATTTTATTTTGTTCATAAATCGAGAACGCCTCATCTAGTCGGTTCCAAATTTTAAACACTTGTGTTCCGTAACGAGAACCAAATTCTTGGAACAGTTGGCTTGTTCACGCGCCCTATGACCAAAGTTGTTGAACGCATTCCCAGCATCCTGAAATGGATCAGATAATGGCTGATTCATCTTAGGGCTAGAATAGTACCTATTAAGTTTCATTTGCGTGTAGGCAAATTTGTTGATGTAAAATACAAAAAAATGGACTCTATATAATCTGTGCCATAATTGGAGAACGACTCATCTGACCGGCTCCAAATATTCACCAGTTGTGTGGTTTCCTAAAAAGAATTCTCACATTACCGTTGGGTGGACAAAGTCCAGTTTTATTGAATAGTGATATTCATTTTTTTTTAATAACCAAAGAATGCTTCTGCTGATTGGCTTAAAAATATTGACAATATATTTTATAATGGTGACACCCTATAATTTAGTCTGAGTAGGTGCAAATTTAAAATGTTACTGAAATTGTTAAAACAAACTTGGAAACAGAATTATCAGTTACTCCGAGAATACCTTTTCTGATCGGCCTCAAACCTTACCATTGGTGAGCTTCATTAAAACCCAAGCTGTCATGCACTGAACTGTGTAAATTTCAAATTGCTTATTTTATTAAGCAAATTTTTCCCGTGTAATACCTAGAGAATACATCTTCTGATCATCTTCAAACCCTGAAAGTTGGTGTATATTATTGGAAGTATTTTGTATGAATTTTGGACTGTGTTGATATAAGTTTGCCAGTTTTTTGCCAGTCAAATTTGGCTTAAAAAATATCGAAATTAAATTTTTTTTTCATGCAGGATTGTAGAATATAATTAAAAAACCAAAAATGATAAAAATAAATTCAGCGATTTTTTCTTTTAAGGTGACATTTAAAGATGACATTCCCATTTTTGGAAACATTCTCAAACATTTACGTTTACTTTCTCACAAATTTTTGTTTATTACTCGAGAACGCTGTATTCGATCAGCTTTAATTAAAATTTCAACGCATGGGCACCCTATGTACATGTTACATAGGCCATTACTAAGTTTCGTTTCCGTGTGATAAGTGGAAACAGTCTTCAAAATCGCAACAATGGTGTATTCTGTTTAGTAGAAGGTTGGTGTATTTATATACGGGGATACTTTTATTGGGCCGCTTAGCGACCAAAATACATATAATTATCCCAGTGGAATGGTTTTCTGTAGACATTATTTATAAACCTATGCATAATGGACCGGGCCGCGGGGGTGTTGATCCTCGGAATACCCTCCAGGTAGACTCCAGGTAATGAGGTGTCCTAAAAGGGTATATAACCATTCACTTCATATTTAACTTTAAAAGTTAGTGTACCACGTTAATTAAGGTGATATAAATGTAGCTCTACATTAACATGTGGGAAAAATTTAAAAAATATCGTTCAAATACCATAACCAAATTATACCGAGGTAAACAATAGATGTAAAATATCTTTTAAAATACCTAAATAAAATTTTAGCTCTCCATAATATATTAATACTGAATATAATATAAGACATCTAATAAAATGAGAAATCTAGAAGCCGTTACTGATGACTGAAAATTCTTGAACAGAATAAATATTAGTCATGTGATAATTTGTGAATGCCCCATCCAAACGGAGTCAAACCTTCAATGCCTGTAACTTGAGAATGCATCTTCTGAACGTTTTCAGATTAAAGTGCTGGTGTATTTTTCGGAGAGTGTATTGGATAACTAGAGAATACCTCTTATGATTGACTTTACATTTCCAATACTGATGTATCCTAGAGGAAAACTTGACCTGGGTTTGGGCAGTATAGGTGCCAATTTGTCATTTTAGTAAAGAAATTGGAGTGTTAGTCTCCATGTGATGATTTGTGAATATCTTTAATGCTAATATTTAACTGCATTACAAACTTATGTCGCACTCTGTGTTATTTCTTCTTTGTGCATTGAGGTAGAGCAGCCTTGACTTAGGGGATACTGGGATATATCTAACAAATCGTATAGCGACCGAAACTAGTCTTCTGCGTCAAGATGTTAATAAGTATATGAATGTTAGGCTTCGGACACCCCAGCACGCAGAAGTCTCTGTGTTGGAGCATAACTCGGGCGTTCTGTACACAATTTATAAGTTGTTCAAAACTTATGAAACTAAATAAAATCTAGCAAACATTAAAGCATTTCTGGTTTTCGATTTTTTTATAGAGTTGTATTGAATTTAAAACATAAAAGTCGTTTACTATACTTTTTTTTTTCATTAACTATAAAAAATGACGAAACATTAGACGTTAAAGCATTAATTTCAAATAATGTTGACTAATCACTGAGAGAGATACTTTTTTGTTAATTTTGAAATTATTTATCAATAGTTGTGATTATTAGGACCACACGAGGGTCTTAAGGTAGAATATCACCCGTACACTTAAGTCAAAAACATTTTTCCCCTAAAATATAGATTGAAATTAATTTAGTTTATAAAGTAAAAGGGTATTATACTAATCTTAATTTTTAAAGAGGTGGACCGGTAAGCCAGCGGTGGGCCTCGGTCAGATGACCAAAACCTCCGTCAGGAAACAGTTGTCCAGTTTTCTGACGATTCTTAGCTAACTTAACATAGATACACAGAAGTACGCACTTCTCGGCGTATATAGTCTGGTACGGTTAGTGCATATGTAAATGTTATTATTTACATAAAATACTTGTGTAATGTTTAATAGCAATGTAATAGCTATAAAAACATTTCTTGCTCCCGTTCTATACTATCCCTTCACTCATATTCCCTCCACTCCCAAGACTAACCCTCATCCTCTACTATCCTCTTTCTTCACTCCCCCATCATCTCTGCTTTCCTTTCAACTACCTCGTCTCTTCTACTTTTCCCTTTATTCTTAATTTCTTCTCTTTCCCTTGCTCCCTCTCCCCTCTTCGTGTTTCTCTCCCACACTCACCACCTCCTTGTTCCTAAACTCTTCTTTTTTAATATATTCGTCAGAGAGAATCGCGTGACATGTCTTCACGATGACCTGCTCGTTAAGACCATCTTAACCGTGTCGGCACAAGACATGTTTTAGTGTTTTACAGAACTAGACTATCTTCACTCTTCTTGCCACTCTCTCCGTACCAGTCTCCTAGTTCACAATAATATATTGCATTGTCCTATTTAAGAAACCCATCTTGTGTCATAAAGTATGGTAGGAAAATGTTCTCTTGTTCCCACTGTAGAGTAGATACACACTGTGGTGATTAGTTAATGATCCAAGTCGGACCGAAACGCAGTCATAAGTTTCTATCTCCTATGTGCGGGTTATTTGTGTATGTGTGGTTTACCTGTTATTTTATAAAAAAATAACTAATATCCTTTTTTACCTTGCAGCTTCCCGGAATGACGACCGAGAGAGCGACGTCTGTGACGCTAGGCTCAGCTGCGTCCAAGAGCCACGACGACAAGCCTAAGGAGAAGGGTATAGAGGACGCTGTGTCCAAGCTGCTGGAGGGTAGGTGATGCTGATGCTTGCTTATTATGAACATAAGAAAGAAGGAACACTGCAGTAGGCCTACTGTCCCATGCGAAGCAGGTCCATGTCTCTCCCCCCCCGGATTAGCCCAATGACCCACCTAGTAAGGCCACTTCCACTTAAGGAAGGAGCACGACATCAGACCTAGCAGCACAAGCTAGTCAGGTCCAACTCACACCCACCCACACCCACTCGTGTGTTTATCTAATCTATTTTTTAAAACTACACAACGTTTTAGCCTCTGTAACTGCACTCATCCAAACCAGTGCTTTCCTATATCCTTCCTGAATCTGAATTTTTCCAACTTGAAACCATTGCTGCGAGTCCTGTCTTGGCCGGAAATTTTTAGCACGCTATTTACATCCCCTTTATTTATTCCTGTTTTCCATTTATACACCTCGATCATATCCCCCCTAATTCTACGCCTTTCGAGAGTGCAGATTCAGGGCCCTCAGTCTATCCTCATAGGGAAGATTTCTCATACATGAGATCAACTCTGTCATCCTCCTTTACGTTTTCCAGTGCATTTATATCCATTCTGTAATACGGTGACCAGAACTGTGCAGCATAATCTAAACGAGGCCTAGCCAAGGATATATAAAGTTGAAGAACGACCTGAGGACTTGTTGTTAGGTAAGACACATATGCAACAGTTAGGTATCTTTATTTTGAAATGTTTCGTCTACACAGTAGGCTTCTTCAGTCGAGTACAGAAAGTAGGCAGGAGCAGTAGAGATTTGAAGACGATGTAATCAGTCCATCACCCTTGAAGTCGTAGATTTGAGGTTGCCAGTCCCTCAGCCTGGAGAAGTTCTGTTCCAAAGTTCTGTTCCAGACTTCGGAACTGAGGGACTGACAACCTCAAATCTACGACTTCAAGGGTGATGCACTGATTACATCGTCTTCAAATCTCTACTGCTCCTGCCTACTTTCTGTACTCGACTGAAGAAGCCTACTGTGTAGGCGAAACGTTTCGAAATAAAGATACCTAACTGTTGCATATGTCTTACCTAACAACCTGTCGGTATTTTATATCATTTCGATGTTCGACCTGAGGACTTCTATTATTTATACTTCTAGATATGAAGCCAAGGATTCTGTTAGCTTTATTATGAACACTAATGCACTGTTGTCTTGGTTTTAGATTACTCCTAACCAGAACTCCTAAATCCTTTTCGCAATAAGTAATATTAAGATCTGCATTATTTAGTTTATATGTCGCATGGTTATTTTCCTGTCCAACATTTAGAACTTTGCATTTGTCTATATTAAACTGCATCTGCCACTTCTCCGACCATTGCATCAGTCTATTCAAATCATCCTGGAGTGCTCTAGTGTCCTCACTAGAATGAATTGGACGGCCTATTTTGGTGTCGTCAGCAAATTTGCTTATGTCGCTATTTATTCCCTCATCTATGTCGTTTATGTAAATTGTGAACAACAACGGGCCCAACACTGACCCATGAGGAACACCGCTTGTGACGTGCCCCCATTCTGATTTCTCCCCATTTATGCAAACTCTCTGTCTATTTGTCAGCCATGACTCTACCCAGGAAAAAAATTCTCCTCCTATTCCGTGTGCCTTAAGTTTCCTCAATAGCCTCTGATGTGGAACTCTATCGAAAGCTTTACTGAAGTCCATATACACTATATCATATAAGAACATAAGAACGAAGGAACACTGCAGAAGGCCTACTGGCCCATGCGAGGCAGGTCCAAGTCTCCTACCGGCTTAAGCCAATGCACCCAACCTAGTCAGGTCAGGTCACATTGACTTAAGGGAGGAACACGGCAACCGACCTGGTAGCACAAGCTATCAGGTCTAACTCACACCCACCCACATCTACTCATGTATTTATCCAACCTATTTTTAAAGCTACACAACGTTCTGGCCTCTATAACGGTACTTGGGAGTTTGTTCCACTCATCCACAACTCTATTACCAAACCAGTACTTTCCTATATCCTTCCTGAATCTGAATTTTTCCAACTTAAAACCATTGCTGCGAGTCCTGTCTAGGCTAGATATTTTCAGCACACTATTTACATCCCCTTTATTTATTCCTGTCTTCCATTTATACACCTCAATCATATCCCCCCTAATTCTACGTCTTTCTAGAGTGCAGTTTCAGGGCCCTTAGTCTATCCTCATAGGGAAGGTTTCTGATACATGGGATCAACTTTGTCATCCTCCTTTGTACATTTTCCAGAGAATTTATATCCATTCTGTAATACGGTGACCAAAACTGTGCAGCATAATCTAAATGAGGCCTAACCAAGGATGTATAGAGTTGAAGAACAACCTGAGGACTCCTATTATTTATGCTTCTTGATATGAAGCCAAGGATTCTATTAGCTTTATTGCGAACACTTATGCACTGTTGTCTTGGTTTCAGATTACTGCTAACCAGAACTCCTAAATCTTTTTCGCAATCCGTAATATTAAGATCTACATTATTTAGTTTATATGTGGCATGGTTATTGTCCTGTCCAACATTTAGAACTTTGCATTTGTCTATATTAAACTGCATCTGCCACTTCTCCGACCACTGCATCAGTCTATTCAAATCTTCCTGGAGTGCTCGAATGTCCTCGTCAGAATGAATTCGACGGCCTATTTTGGTGTCATCGGCAAACTTGCCGATGTCGCTCTTTATGCCCTCATCTATGTCGTTTATGTAGATTGTGAACAGCAGGGGGCCCAACACTGACCCCTGTGGAACACCGCTCGTGACGCTTCCCCACTCTGATTTCTCCCCATTATTCATTACCATGATCTACCTCCTCAAACACCTTAGTGAAAAAAGTTAGTAAATTCGTAAGACAGGAACGCCCCTTTGAGAAACCGTGTTGAGATTCATTAATCAATTTATGTCTATCAAAATGGCTACAAATTTCTTCGGTAGTTATTGATTCCATAAATTTTCCCGCTGTGGAGGTAAGGTCTATAGTTCGAAGCTAAGGACCTGTCACCTGCCTTGTAAATAGGTATTACATTTGCCATTTTCCACTTATCAGGCACTATGCCAGTTTATAGTGATATGTTGAAAAGATTAGCCAAAGGTATGCTAAGTTCCTCTTTACATTCCTTTAAAACCCTTGCAAACAGTTCATCAGGGCCTGGGGATTTGTTAGGTTTTAATTTTTCTATTTGTCTGAGGACCATGTCACTAGTTACCGCAATCGTGCATAGTTTATTATCGTCCTGTTCTGCATAATCTATTTCAGGAATTTCGCTAGTATTTTCCTGGGTAAAAACAGAGAGGAAGTAGGTATTGAAAATTTCACACACATCACTGTCAGTGATCTGACCAGAGTTACTCTTAAGTGGGAGTATCTTGTCTCTAATCTTACTTCTGTATACCTGAAAGAACCCTTTTGGGTTAGTCTTCGAATCCCTTGCGACCTTAGCCTCATAATCCCTTTTTGCTTTTCTTATTCCTTTTTTATATTTCTCTCTTTAATTAAATATATTGATTTCTTAACTGCCCATCCCCTCTTTTGATACGCCTATATATGCCTCTCTTTTGACCAGTGAGATGTTTTAATCTATTGTTCATCCATTTGGGATTATTTTTGTTAGATCTAATTTCCCTACTCGGAACAAAAGTTGTCTGGGCAGCTAGAATTATGCTCTGAAAAACGTCATGTTGGCACCCAAGATAACCTACCTGACCCATAGTCAGGTCATCCCAATTTAGCCCACCCAGGTAATTTTTCAGTCTCATGAAATTGGCCAAGCGAAAGTCTGGGACAGAGATTTGATTGCAGTTATCTGGGTAATTCCATGATATATTGAAACTAAGTGATTTGTGATCACTTTCCCCAAGCTCATCATTAACCTCAAGATTATTAATTAGGGATTCTCTGTTGGCCAGAACCAAGTCAAGCAGATTGTTTCCTCTAGCTGGTTCTGTCACAAACTGTTCTAAAAAGCAATCCTGAACCACATCAAGAAAGTCATATTTGTTCCAGTCAATTTGTCTGAAGTTAAAATCTCCCATTAACACAACATTTTCATATCTAGATGTCGAATGAATTTCGTCCCATAACAGTTTACTACACTCCCTGTCAAGGTTTGGGGGCCTATAAATCACACCCAAAATTAATTTGTCACGACCCTCGAGAAACTGTAGCCAAACAGATTCTGTGTTCGATGTTTCTAATCTTATATCATGTATAAGACAATTTAAATTATCTCTGACATACATCGCCACTCCACCACCCTTCCTGTTGACCCTATCAGTGTGGAATAGTTTATAACCCTGTATGTTGCATTCAGAAGGCATTTCTCTATCTTTCAGGTTGAACCAAGTCTCTGTTATATCAATAATATCTATATTACCTGCACTTGCAAGTCATCTTAGCTCATCTATCTTATTTCTTAGACTCCTATTATTTATATAGTAAACGTTAAGGGAGCTAGTCACTCGTTGCCCTCTACTATCTCTCTTTGTTTGTTGATCAATTGATTTGCCTTTACTAACAACTTTATTTTGAATATTGTCTTTTAAACATATCCCTGATGTATCCCGGTAATATCTGCTGTTTTTAACCCTAATACTGCAGCCTGATTGTTTCCCACAAACACCCATACCTCTATAATCTATCAGTTTAAATTCCTAGACAAGTCATCAATTACCCCCTCAATCGAATTGGCTAATGCAACCCCTCCAGCCCCAGAGAGATGAACCCCATCCCTTGCATACATATCACGTTTGCCATAGAATATGTCCCAGTTATCAATGAATGGGATTGCAAGTTCCTTGCAGTACCTGTCTAGCCAGCAATTTATACTAATTACCCTAGACATCTATTCATTGCCCACTCCCTTTCTAGGTAAGATGCTACATATGACTGGGATCCCTCCCTTAGACCTGACTACTTCTATGGCTGACCTGTACTTATCCAGCAGCTCCTGTCTCCTTCCCTTCCCAATGTCATTACCCCCAGCTCTAAGACAGATAATGGGCTTGTTCC